TTGGGTCCTTGAAAAATATTCTTTGAAAAATCCACGTTTATAAGTCATTGGGTCCTTGAAAAATATTCTTTGAAAAATCCACGTTTATAAGTCATTGGGTCCTTGAAAAATATTCTTTGAAAAATCCACGTTTATAAGTCATTGGGTCCTTGAAAAATATTCTTTGAAAAATCCACGTTTATAAGTCATTGGGTCCTTGAAAAATATTCTTTGAAAAATCCACGTTTATAAGTCATTGGGTCCTTGAAAAATATTCTTTGAAAAATCCACGTTTATAAGTCATTGGGTCCTTGAAAAATATTCTTTGAAAAATCCACGTTTATAAGTCATTGGGTCCTTGAAAAATATTCTTTGAAAAATCCACGTTTATAAGTCATTGGGTCCTTGAAAAATATTCTTTGAAAAATCCACGTTTATAAGTCATTGGGTCCTTGAAAAATATTCTTTGAAAAATCCACGTTTATAAGTCATTGGGTCCTTGAAAAATATTCTTTGAAAAATCCACGTTTATAAGTCATTGGGTCCTTGAAAAATATTCTTTGAAAAATCCACGTTTATAAGTCATTGGGTCCTTGAAAAATATTCTTTGAAAAATCCACGTTTATAAGTCATTGGGTCCTTGAAAAATATTCTTTGAAAAATCCACGTTTATAAGTCATTGGGTCCTTGAAAAATATTCTTTGAAAAATCCACGTTTATAAGTCATTGGGTCCTTGAAAAATATTCTTTGAAAAATCCACGTTTATAAGTCATTGGGTCCTTGAAAAATATTCTTTGAAAAATCCACGTTTATAAGTCATTGGGTCCTTGAAAAATATTCTTTGAAAAATCCAAGTTTATAAGTCATTGGGTCCTTGAAAAATATTCTTTGAAAAATCCACGTTTATAAGTCATTGGGTCCTTGAAAAATATTCTTTGAAAAATCCACGTTTATAAGTCATTGGGTCCTTGAAAAATATTCTTTGAAAAATCCACGTTTATAAGTCATTGGGTCCTTGTAAAATATTCTTTGAAAAATCCACGTTTATAAGTCATTGGGTCCTTGAAAAATATTCTTTGAAAAATCCACGTTTATAAGTCATTGGGTCCTTGAAAAATATTCTTTGAAAAATCCACGTTTATAAGTCATTGGGTCCTTGAAAAATATTCTTTGAAAAATCCACGTTTATAAGTCATTGGGTCCTTGAAAAATATTCTTTGAAAAATCCACGTTTATAAGTCATTGGGTCCTTGAAAAATATTCTTTGAAAAATCCACGTTTATAAGTCATTGGGTCCTTGAAAAATATTCTTTGAAAAATCCACGTTTATAAGTCATTGGGTCCTTGAAAAATATTCTTTGAAAAATCCACGTTTATAAGTCATTGGGTCCTTGAAAAATATTCTTTGAAAAATCCACGTTTATAAGTCATTGGGTCCTTGAAAAATATTCTTTGAAAAATTCACGTTTATAAGTCATTGGGTCCTTGAAAAATATTCTTTGAAAAATCCACGTTTATAAGTCATTGGGTCCTTGAAAAATATTCTTTGAAAAATCCACGTTTATAAGTCATTGGGTCCTTGAAAAATATTCTTTGAAAAATCCACGTTATAAGTCATTGGGTCCTTGAAAAATCCACGTTTATAAGTCATTGGGTCCTTGAAAAATATTCTTTGAAAAATCCACGTTTATAAGTCATTGGGTCCTTGAAAAATATTCTTTGAAAAATCCACGTTTATAAGTCATTGGGTCCTTGAAAAATCCACGTTTATAAGTCATTGGGTCCTTGAAAAATATTCTTTGAAAAATCCACGTTTATAAGTCATTGGGTCCTTGAAAAATATTCTTTGAAAAATCCACGTTTATAAGTCATTGGGTCCTTGAAAAATATTCTTTGAAAAATCCACGTTTATAAGTCATTGGGTCCTTGAAAAATATTCTTTGAAAAATCCACGTTTATAAGTCATTGGGTCCTTGAAAAATATTCTTTGAAAAATCCACGTTTATAAGTCATTGGGTCCTTGAAAAATATTCTTTGAAAAATCCACGTTTATAAGTCATTGGGTCCTTGAAAAATATTCTTTGAAAAATCCACGTTTATAAGTCATTGGGTCCTTGAAAAATATTCTTTGAAAAATCCACGTTTATAAGTCATTGGGTCCTTGAAAAATATTCTTTGAAAAATCCACGTTTATAAGTCATTGGGTCCTTGAAAAATATTCTTTGAAAAATCCACGTTTATAAGTCATTGGGTCCTTGAAAAATATTCTTTGAAAAATCCACGTTTATAAGTCATTGGGTCCTTGAAAAATATTCTTTGAAAAATCCACGTTTATAAGTCATTGGGTCCTTGAAAAATATTCTTTGAAAAATCCACGTTTATAAGTCATTGGGTCCTTGAAAAATATTCTTTGAAAAATCCACGTTTATAAGTCATTGGGTCCTTGAAAATATTCTTTGAAAAATCCACGTTTATAAGTCATTGGGTCCTTGAAAAATATTCTTTGAAAAATCCACGTTTATAAGTCATTGGGTCCTTGAAAAATATTCTTTGAAAAATCCACGTTTATAAGTCATTGGGTCCTTGAAAAATATTCTTTGAAAAATCCACGTTTATAAGTCATTGGGTCCTTGAAAAATATTCTTTGAAAAATCCACGTTTATAAGTCATTGGGTCCTTGAAAAATATTCTTTGAAAAATCCACGTTTATAAGTCATTGGGTCCTTGAAAAATATTCTTTGAAAAATCCACGTTTATAAGTCATTGGGTCCTTGAAAAATATTCTTTGAAAAATCCACGTTTATAAGTCATTGGGTCCTTGAAAAATATTCTTTGAAAAATCCACGTTTATAAGTCATTGGGTCCTTGAAAAATATTCTTTGAAAAATCCACGTTTATAAGTCATTGGGTCCTTGAAAAATATTCTTTGAAAAATCCACGTTTATAAGTCATTGGGTCCTTGAAAAATATTCTTTGAAAAATCCACGTTTATAAGTCATTGGGTCCTTGAAAAATATTCTTTGAAAAATCCACGTTTATAAGTCATTGGGTCCTTGAAAAATATTCTTTGAAAAATCCACGTTTATAAGTCATTGGGTCCTTGAAAAATATTCTTTGAAAAATCCACGTTTATAAGTCATTGGGTCCTTGAAAAATATTCTTTGAAAAATCCACGTTTATAAGTCATTGGGTCCTTGAAAAATATTCTTTGAAAAATCCACGTTTATAAGTCATTGGGTCCTTGAAAAATATTCTTTGAAAAATCCACGTTTATAAGTCATTGGGTCCTTGAAAAATATTCTTTGAAAAATCCACGTTTATAAGTCATTGGGTCCTTGAAAAATATTCTTTGAAAAATCCACGTTTATAAGTCATTGGGTCCTTGAAAAATATTCTTTGAAAAATCCACGTTTATAAGTCATTGGGTCCTTGAAAAATATTCTTTGAAAAATCCACGTTTATAAGTCATTGGGTCCTTGAAAAATATTCTTTGAAAAATCCACGTTTATAAGTCATTGGGTCCTTGAAAAATATTCTTTGAAAAATCCACGTTTATAAGTCATTGGGTCCTTGAAAAATATTCTTTGAAAAATCCACGTTTATAAGTCATTGGGTCCTTGAAAAATATTCTTTGAAAAATCCACGTTTATAAGTCATTGGGTCCTTGAAAAATATTCTTTGAAAAATCCACGTTTATAAGTCATTGGGTCCTTGAAAAATATTCTTTGAAAAATCCACGTTTATAAGTCATTGGGTCCTTGAAAAATATTCTTTGAAAAATCCACGTTTATAAGTCATTGGGTCCTTGAAAAATATTCTTTGAAAAATCCACGTTTATAAGTCATTGGGTCCTTGAAAAATATTCTTTGAAAAATCCACGTTTATAAGTCATTGGGTCCTTGAAAAATATTCTTTGAAAAATCCACGTTTATAAGTCATTGGGTCCTTGAAAAATATTCTTTGAAAAATCCACGTTTATAAGTCATTGGGTCCTTGAAAAATATTCTTTAAAAATCCAAATTTGAGGGTCTTTGGGTCCTTGAAAAATATCCTTAAAAAATCCACGTTTATAAGTCTTTGGGTCCTTGAAAAATATTCTTTAAAAATCCACATTTGAGGGTCTTTGGGTCCTTGAAAAATATTCTTTAAAAATCCACATTTGAGGGTCTTTGGGTCCTTGAAAAATATCCTTAAAAAATCCACGTTTATAAGTCTTTGGGTCCTTGAAAAATATTCTTTAAAAATCCACATTTGAGGGTCTTTGGGTCCTTGAAAAATATCCTTAAAAATCCACGTTTATAAGTCTTTATGTCCTTGAAGAATATCCTTAAAAATCCACGTTTATAAGTCTTTGGGTCCTTGAAAAATATTCTCTAAAAAATTCACCTTAATAGTCCTTAGGTCCTTGAAAAATATTCTTTATAAAATCTGCGTTTTTAAGTCTTTGGATCTTTGAAAAATATTTTTTTAAAAATCCACGTTTATAAATCAATGCACCCTTGAATAATATTCTTTATAAAATCCGCGTTTTTAAGTCTTTGGGTCTCTGAAAAATATTTTTTAAAAATCCACGTTTATAAATCAATGCACCCTTGAAAAATATTCTTTAAAAATCCACGTTTATAAAACTTTGGGTCCTTGAAAACTATTTTTTAAAAATCCACGTTTATAAATCAATGCACCCTTGAAAAATATTCTTTAAAAATCCACGTTTATAAATCAATGGACCCTTCAAAAATATTCTCTAAAAAATCCACGTTTATAAAACTTTGGGTCCTTTAAAATATTTTTTAAAAATTCATGTCTATAAGTCAATGAACCTTGAAAAATATTCTTTAAAAATCTACGTTTATAAATCAATGGACCCTTGAAAAATATTCTTAAAAAAATCCACGTTCCTTAAAAATATTTTTTAAAAAAATCGACTTTTTTGATTATAATTTTCCTTTTATTTTGACATATATATTTAATATCATGACCTTATGACTATACATGTTTTAGATCCAATAATTTTTTCCGATTTTTCGAAATTTACTTTTCATACAATTTCATTTGTTCCAATACCTTATCGTAGACATATTTCTTGGCTTCAGTACCCCAAATAAAGTCCAAATGAGCCCATTTTTTGAATGGCACCAAATAATCCAATTTCATGTTGGGCAATTGATCGCGTAGCTTCAGGACATCGGATACATCGCACATCCAATCGTTGGAACCGTAGTACAACATGACAGGTGCCTTGACATTCGACAACTTATAGTCTGGTGGGAGGAGAGCACCGTTATATTCCAAGGGATTGCGCAGAACACTGTAATCGAATTTGCGGAATTCCTTGGAGTTGTGCAATTGACAGAAGTGGATATTTTGATTGACGGAGGCTCCTGCGGGAGAGGTGGCCTTGATGTGGGGCAAAAGTTCCTAAAGTAGGGGGGAAATGAAAGGAATTATTATTTTCTATCAAACTTTAAAATCCAATAAATCTTTGACTTACATAATCCAATTGTTCCGAATCGTAACCTCCAATTAGGAATATCTCATTGGCACACATTTCAGCATAGGGAGATGTGGCCTGACACATTTCAATACCCAAATCCTGTTTGAATTTATTGCTGGGCATAAATTCCATGGAACCGGCAACCTCAACAATGGCATTGGGTTGACCCAAAATGGGAGCAAAGGCCCGTGTCAGAGGACTCTTCATGTTACCCATGTAGGCAGCAGGACCCAAAAGATGGGCCGACTTGATCTTGTCATTATATTTTGGTTTTTCGGACATCATGACAAAGAACACAGTGGTACCTTGAGAATGGCCCACATATTGCAACTTCTCTTCTCCGGTATTTCTCAGAACATAATCAATCATGTTGGGCACATCATAAAGGCCAATTTCATGCCAGCTGAAATTCCAAAATACCTGCCAATAGGTGGGCCAAACCTTGTGTTTCTTCGAGTAGGTATTGCCACGAGCATTGCCCATCCAAACATCATAGCCGGCATCGGAGAGTATATATGCCAAAGCCTTGCCAGGACCCATCAATACCCAATCGACGGAGGAGCTCAACATGCCATGCATAAGGAATACAACTGGCTTCTTCACACCAGCATTATTCAATTTAGGTGAGAAGGGTATGCGGTGAACGGTCAAAATATAACTGTCATCGGTGGTAACCTGATGGGTCTCCACAGGATAACCATCATCCAGAATGCGCTCGGCCTAAAAACCAAGAAAATGTTTAATTTCTGCATTCGAAGTAATCATTTTATTGACTTACACAATCCGATATGGGTCTTGAACCGGCCTGGACACTGCTGGCAAATAGGGCCAAAAGTGCCACTGCAACTGCGGGTATAACTACTGCTCTTCTCATAACTTGTGACTTTACTAATAACTTCTAAATTCCCAGGGTCATGCCTTATATATGGTTAAATTTTTTAGGTCTTATCTTCCATTCGGTAGCTATAGGCTATCAATATTTTGATTACGTCCCTGATATGATTACAAATCATTGTTTACCCCCTTTGAAAATTGTTATTAATTTTTGGGTACGTAAAAGAAAAAGGCTTTCGTCAGAACATGTTTGATGGTGGGCATTTATGACCCACCCCCCTCTTTGAAAGATTGCAAAGATTTGCTTGGTGGCCCCTGAGTTTTTTTTCGGAAGAAATACGCGTGTACTTTTTTTTGATAAATCTCAGATTTTGATAATGACCGGGGTAGCGTGTATATTGCGAATGATAAGCCCATAACTATTGTCATAAATCTATTGATTCCAATCAACACACTATTCTATTACAAAAAAAGGAAAGTATGTTGCTTTGAAGTTAAGATAAGAATTTGCTTTATTTTCAGAATTGGTTTGTACCAGATATTCTATAAATGAATTTTTATGTTTCAAATTTTGAGCTATTTTAGGTCACCAGAAAAATTGCAACGATAATACAAATAACATTTATTTGAATAATAATTTGAACCTTAGAGCCTATTAATTTTAGAACTTTTTTGTTCCATTAATAGACTTTTAAAGTTATTCTTAGTTACGCGAAAAATTGAAGTGACATGTTTTGAATGTAAGGGTGCAGTTGAGTGAAGCTTTTCGGGACAACCAAATTCGCTTTTATCCAACAGTTTGGGTTTGTGGATGGACTAATTGAGATGGTAGCATATGGTTTGTGTCTGCACATCTTTTCCAACAATATGTACAATGTTGTTTTCTGAATTTAGTCGACAGAGGGGAAAAGGCTATCAGAAAGACATATAATCATGGATTCTTAAAGAATATGTTTGTCAAGCAATAGCCGGTATTTAACTATGGATTTTTTATAATATTTATTTTACGAGGAATAGCCGGGCCATCGTCATGGATTTAACTCTGTGTTAAATCCACGATTAATAAGAATATTTTTCCTGGACTATCTTATCCATAATCGTATATTGTTTGTAATATTTTTTTTGATGTTTTTTTACCCTCCACCTTGGAAAGGAGGGTATATTAACTTTGTCATTCCGTTTGTAACATCCTTAAATATTCATCTTAGACCCCATAAAGTATATATATTCATAATCAGCATAAAATTCTAAGCCGATTTAACGATGTCCGTCTGTCTGTTGAAATCACGATAAAGCCCACATTATTTGACGTAGAGCGCCAAAATTTAGCAGAGCTATTTGCATTGATCTAGGATGGTTGGTTCTGGTATAGCCCCCATATAACAGTACCTCCCGATATTCGGTATTTTGATGGTTTTTGCCACATTTTTTCACTGATTTGTCTAAAAATTGGTATTTGTGGGTCATAATGGGCCCTAGTTCGTGTAGCGAAACATTGTAATTATAGGTCCACGTTTTGGTATAGCCCCCATATAACGGTACCTCCCGATATTCGGTAATTTGATGATTTTTGCCACATTTTTTCACGGCTTTGTCTGAAAATTGGTATTTGTTGTTCATAATGGGTTCCAGCTTCGGTGGCGAAACATTGCATGCATGGGTCCATGATTTGATATAGCCCCCATATAACGGTACCTCCCGATATTCGTCATTTTAATGGTTTTTGCCACATTTCTTCTAATGTTTCTTTTACCCTAAGGTGGATGGTATTTAAAGTTTGGCCCGTCCGAACATAATGTTTTTTTTACTTGTTAAGAATATTTTATTGACCATACGAACTTCAACAGTGGATATAAAAACTATTTTATCAGAGTCCAGTAGTTCAGTAACCTTGGATTATTTTACGAATATTTTTAAGGACTGTGCGAGGCTGAATCGAGGACTTTTTATGAAAGCTTCTTAATATGTTTCAATGTTTGAAATATTCAACAAGAATATTTTTAAAGGACTATCCGACTCATAACTGTAGATTAAAAAAAAAAAACTTCTTCAGGGACAAAGTGAGACAAAATCGGGTTTTTTGTATTTTTTTGACTATACAGGGTGAGATGAAAAAACTGCAAACAACTTCAGACTGCTGTCATTTCTAAGCCACTCGTCCGACAGCTGTTAAAATTATTCCAGTGACAGCTCATTATATTGTTTGCGAGCGTACTAAAGCATTTTGGTGAGAATTTTCCAGAAAAAACACATGGCAATATTCCATGAAATATTGAAAAATGAGTTCGGGGTAAAAACATTGGAATTCCAAAAAGTACAAGAACTTACACCGCTACAGAAAGTAAATAGACTCGAAGAGCTAAAGAGTTGCTTCGCTTGACCGAAAGTGGTGAACTGCCGAATTTGGTTTTCTCCGATGAGAAAACATTCGTTGTCCAGCAGTTTGTAAACAAACAAAATGATCGTGTTTACTTGCCAAAGAGGTGAGCTGAAAATGTGCACCTTCGGTTTGCCACCAGAACTCAAGCGCCGGCCATAGTGATGGTGTGGGCCGCCATAACAGCCGATGGTCACTCTCCGCTCGTATTAATCGACATTAGAATATATGCAGTTTATTATCACGAAAATTGTGGAGGGTGTATTAAAGCCTTGAGCAGCAAACATTGTGGCCGCAGACCTTAGACATTCCAAGAGGACTCAGCACCATCGCACTCAGCACGCGCCACCCAGGAATGGTTACACAATGAGCTTGCTCGCTTCATTTCCAGCGCACAATGCCACCAAAATCTCTGGATGCCAATCCGTTGGACTATTGTGTCTGGAGTATTTTGGAAAGCAAGGTTGGCACTAAAAAATGCCAAAGTGTCGATCACCTCAAGCAAGCGCTTCGCTGGGAATGAACCAAAATACCGCAGAGCAACATTCGGGTAGTGTGTGACGTTTTCATTGGCCGTTTGAAGACCATAATTCGTGCCAAAGGTGACCAATTCGAACAAATTTTAACTTATTTTAAAATTTGATGCTATTTCCGACATTTTTGCTGTCATTCAATAGAATTTTAAAAAAATGTAAACATTATGGTGTTTGACTTTGTTGCAGTTTTTTTATCTTACCCTGTGTAATAAATAGTGGGCATCACAATTTACCATGTAATCGTATAAGAAAAATTTTTTCAAGGACGAATATATGTGAAGTTATAGATTTTTTAAATATTATTTTTTCATGATAATGAATTATTTAACCAATATTTTCATCGAGACTCATAACCCTGTATTTTCAAAAGAATTTTTTCGAAAATCATTTTTTAAAAAATATTTTTAAAGGACCTTTATAAACGTCGATTTTTCCAAAAAATAGCTTTTAAGAAATAAAGGTAGATTAGATTTTTTTAAGGACTTAAGTACGTTGATATTTTAAAGTATGTTTTTGTTAAGGGGCCCAAAGACTTACAAACGTGAACGTTTTTAAGAATATTTTTTTAAGGTCCCAAAGACTTACAAACGTGGTTTTCTTAAAGATCTTTTTTCACAGACATTACGTGGATTTTTTAAAGAATATTTTTCCAAGTCGTATTTTTTAGAATAATAGGGATTACAATCATGGAATAGAGTTTAAAGGCTATGATCGTTAATTCTAAAATTATTTTTTCAAGGACTATTCAATTAATAATATCAAAATTTCAACACTAATTGAGGGTTCTTAGTGAAAAATGTTAGGGTATTTAATCTTTTTAATTTTAATATTTTTCGAAAAACTCACCAACTTTCACCTTCTACCACTTATAACTCTATTAAGGCAATATTAATTGAGTGTTAACCTAAATTCCCATCAAACATTAAAAATACTGAAATTTACATATATGCATATGACTCAATCTTTAAAACAAAAGATTTACTTACAACTTCTTCAGAGGCACTTGGCATTTTCCCTTCCCACCATTAGAATTTTACACAAGGGAGTCTGTGTTGTCGGCGATGGTCGTTCGGTCGGTCGGTGTTGGTAGCAGTCTTGTTTTCGCCTTGTATGGCACTTGAAAATGTCAAAATCTCACTGAAAACTGAACAAGAAAATAGCATAACAATCATATTTGGTGTGGCTTACTTGAAAGTGGTTGGATTCCAAAGGCGTTTGCCGGCAATGGGAGTGTGTTGGGACATCCTTTTTTTCTGTGCCTTCAAAGAATGCTGAACAAAGCATACGAAAATATGAAAAATTGATTCACATTATGTGACGTTTCGTTTTTTTCCAACTTCTTTGCATTCTAGCAGTCCTCCAATGTACCTTCTTTGGTTGGTGGGTGGATATTTGTTTTCCCTTTTTCTGCTCTGGGATTCCCAGCCACTGCCACTGTCATGTAAAAATTTGAATTTTAATGTTGTAATAACTTTATTTCCTGTTGTTTTTTGTTTTATTTTTCAATCGTTTCCACCCCTCTTTCCTGATTTGCTTGTTTTTTTTTTGTTTCAACCCAAGATGGTAAATCAAATCTCAAGATGATGATATTTCTCGTAGTGGGTTTGGAACAGAAAAGGAATTGTTTGTTACTCCTTATAGAACTTGCAAATCTTTTATTTGTTTTCCCATTATTTTCTGCTTATTTGTTGTTGTTCTATTTCTATTGTCTTCTGTTTGTTTTTTATTTCCCTAGCCTTAGTGTTGTTTGAGTGGTGGAATTTTGAGATTGTGTTATCAAATGTATTCATTGTTTTCACTTGGTTTACCATAAGACATACATGTGCATATGTACTATGCACTTTATGATTCATTGTGGAAAAATTTTTGAGACGATCTAGAAACCTTGAGTGGCCTTAAAAAACCACTTTTTTTAATTTTTAGGTCTTTTGTTGTTGCAAAATCGTCAGGCAAAATCCCATTATTGTTGTTTTTATAAAAACAACGTTTGTTTATGAGTGGAGAACGATGGTAATGTTTACCAGGGGGTAAGGCAGGGAATACCTAGGTTTCGGAAAGAGCCACCAATCCTCATCAGTTCCCTTGTTTCTTGTCTGGGATATTCTACCCAGAAGTTATTTTAAAAATAACTTCTATGACAAAAAACATTTTTTACCCAAGTGACGAGATCGTAAGCTCAATA